AAATTAAAATGATTTTTGTAGAAAACCAAAGGAATCTATAAAATAGCTGTAAGAACTAATAAGCAGGTTTAGCAAGGTCACTTGTTTACAGGGTGGAGGGGGAGGACAGTATATTACATGTAAAGGAATAAGGTAAGAATTACAGTGGATTTCTCTGCAAAGTTCATGCAAGATGCTACCCCCAGCTCTCAGGCACTTTCAACACTGCTCCTTTGAGCTCAGCACACTGTTAACTTTTTATTTTACTTGAATATTTAGAAGCACTTGTACTATTCCTTTCAATAGTGGAGTTGTACTTTCAAGTGCCTCAAAACCTATAAGGTTTCTTCTGTTCTGAATTTGCCCTCCATACCAAATTCATCATCAACACTGCTCTTTTAATCTCTTCACATCCCAACCATTTGTTCTATTTCTACTGCTCTAAAATTAATATGGGAAAATGTCACCATCTTCCTATTTTTTCTGTCACCAATTTCTCCACTCTGTGAATCACCCCGCACAACGTTATTAGGTACCTTTTTAAACAAGTTTTTATTTAAATTCCTAATTTACTAAATGTACTAAATTCCTAAATTCCTAAATTTATTTAGTTGACACACAGTGTAATATTAGCTTCATGTGTATAATATAATGATTCAACACTCCCATACATTCATTATACAGTGCTCATCACAAGAAGTGCACTCCTTCATCCCCATCACCTCTTTAACCCAGCCCCCACCTACCTCCTCTCTGGTAACCATCAGTCTATTCCCTGTAGTTGAGAGTCCATTTCTTTGTTTGCCTCTCTTTTTTTTTCCCCCGGTGCTCATTTGTGTTTTTTTTCTTAAATTCAACATATGAGTGAAATCATATAGTATTTTTTCCTCTGATTTATTTCGCTTAGCATAATACTCTCTAGCTCCATTCATGTCATTGCAAATGGCAACATTTCTTTCCTTTTTGTGGTTGAGTAATATTCCATTCTGAAGCTTTTATAAAATAATACTTGATCATAAAATTTCCCAACACTCAATGAAAGTACATCCCATGTTATATAAAGAAGCGAATCTTGTTAGACTTCTACACAAAGTTATGCCAACATTTTCACCAGCCTATCATTCTGACTTATATACACCTTATGATACATTGATTTGTCTGTTTTTGCCCTTCCAAACAAGTGTTCTAAACTTTTTTTTTCTAATCCAGCCATGCACATTTTTCAAAGAAGTTCAAGTGTCACTCCACCACCTAATTTTTATCCAGATTGTATCAGCTCAGAATTCCTAATTATTGTAGATATTTCCTATTCCAGCTACTTAGAACTAAACTGGACTGCCTGGTAATGTTCATGTGTATGTATTTTTCCTACAGTACTATATGTCTTAGAGGAAAGACATGATGTGCCTTCTTCTCTGAATTCCCTAAGAATCTAGGCCAAGTCAATATATTTATTTTCTCAACAAATATTTATAAATTATTACTCAGGTAACTGGTATCATGCTAGTCTTGACATATAGCAATAATCTATAGAGATACAGTCCATTTTTCAAATACATATTTACTCACAATATCTATCACTACCACACTCAAGTTGCTCTCATTTTGACATCATCAATGGGAACAGGTAATAATTATAGGTATGCTGTCTCCCAGAATGAAAAATAGGATATTCACAGTAAATTATAGACTGTTATAGGATAACAATGAATTGTGTTGTACTAATAAAAAAACAAATGGACTAAGCAATTCTATTTATAAATAAATGAGTAGCAACTATGTGGATATAAGTAATTGAAATGTTAAATTAATAAGCTAAGCAAGACACAATGAAGACATGAATATAATAGTGAGAAAGATAGATCCGGGGCTGGAATTTGTAAACATTCAGAAGGGCAAACTGTCAGGAGTTAACTTTGATTGAACGTAACCATAAGAGTAAATCAGGCTAGGATGACTTCTAAATTCTGAAGTTTTTAGTTAGTGGTACTTGAACTAAAAGAGCAGTACAAGAGAGTTAAAATAACGTCTGTGCATTGGGCACTTGGAATTTTAACACTGCCAGGGGAAAATGACACTCAGCACTATGAGACATGGCAGTTTGCTATAGTCTCAAAGGTTGGAATGAGAAATTTCAAGCCTCTTCGCAGGGGGTACAGAGAACTAACGTGTGATGCACATTGATCCTTGGTTTATCATCTTTTGACCAAATGTATTCTTGGTGTGATGAATTCATTCATTCCTTTAAATCTTGAAAACAACTAAGCATTGAAGAAAATGCATCTATTACTCATCTGCCGTCTGTGAAGACAGACAATAAATACATCTTCAACCAAGGCCAGATAAGCCTGCTGCACTTGAAGCCACCGGTCTTGGATCAGGAATTCTGGGCATTTTCCTAAGACCTGTTCCTGTTACTCTTGTTGAATTTCTTCACTACAAACCATTTTGGAAGGGAAGAAGGGAAGGAACACTAAGTTTGTTTAACTAAACTAAGTTTGAACACTAGGTTTGTTTATAAGCAAACCTGCAAAAGGTCCTCTTTATGTAACCCTGAATACACTATTGTACCAGACTGGTATTGCACTGAAAACTTAAGGTATCTATGGCCTTTACCAATCTGCTCTTTAAATGCTGACCTGTGTTAATTCAGGAACTCTTGTATGAAAAGGAGCGCCTCCTTTTTCAGTCACCCCTTGCATTTTGAATCCTGGTATTATTTCCATCTTCTTCCTAGGGTTCAATTGTGGGAGCAGACATTTCCCTTCCTCAAGGGAAGGTGTGCAAGATTTTTTCTGCGCGCCATTGGAGGGGAGGCGGTTGTAGGAATTCAGTAAGCTGACGACTGCGCTGAGGGCACAAAGCCCGTGACGTAGCTCCTCGCTCACACCTGCTTGGAGGAGTATCTTACTCTCGCTGTCCAAGCAGCGAGCAGCAGCCTCTCTCTGACTCCGTCCACCCTGCAGGAAGATCTGGGCTCTGGAGCCAGGGTAAGACTTGCAGCAGTCTGGGAAAGGCAATGATCAGGGCCCGGGAGGTAGAGAGAAAGATCTGTGGGGTGAGGAGTCTTCTGGTCCTCCGCGCCTCTTCTGGGACTCTGGTGGGCACATCGGCTGATCAGTGCAGATGCACGCAGAGTTTCGGTTTTGTTGCATATCTCTGATCCACCGAACACTTTCAACATGCCTCTTGATGTTTATCCAGTTGGAACTCTTTACCTGTCTTAAAAGATGAATCATTCCATTTACATGAAATGCTCTGATTCATAGCTGAAGCCTGAAGTCATTTGTAAATCAGGCCTTTCATGAGGTCAAATTAAGAACTTCAGTTTTTTATTTCTGTTTTGAATGCACTGTTATTAGGAACTATATATTGCAGGCAATTAGAATGATGGCTGTTGACTCTTCTGGACTACATGTCATCTACTGGCTTCCAGGGAAAGACATGAAGACATGTAGGTGTGACCCCAAATCCATGTAGTAAAAGGTTACTCTGCGGGTGACTACTTATAGAAATTATCTTCCAAAGAGTGTATAAGGATTTGGGAATCGGGAAAATATACCATGATATTCCAAGGAAGTCAGTCAGTCAATAGTTAATTGAACTTGTTTAAGAAGCCCACTTCTTTGCTACTGTTTGAAGGAAATACCAAGATACCAAAATATAATCTGATCTCAGAAGGATTCTTGATGGGTAAGATCAAATAAATTAAAATTACTAATATTAGTAATACTAAACACAGTTAAGCTTTAGGTTTGTGACGGAGATGGTTAATACTACTTATTTATGCTTTCCATCTTTATTTTAAATATTGTCTTTTTTCCCCTATTCTAGGATTATGAAACTGAACATCATGCTCTTCCTACAGACACCGTAGAACGATGTCATCCCAGTCTTAAAACACCTGCAAGAAAGGGGACAGTACTTTTCCATTAGTAAGTACCAAGGGGGAAATGGCAGCCAACTTTTCAGCTCTGTATGAATGTGGATTTTGCCATTGCTTTCATTGATGCAACAAAGATGATTATAGGTTGGGTAAGTGACGGGGAAGGAACAGGAGAGTGGTAGGGAGGAATATGTGGCATCATAGTCTGTTGAATTATGGAATTGTGGATCATCTAATATAATCCCATTGAATGATTGAGCTATATAAAATTACCCAGCTAATGTGTATATCTATCAATGAGCTGATGAGGCTGCAACAGTCCAGATGTTAGAACATTTTTTTTTTAAATTACAAGATTCCTAGTAGACCTGGGCTTTGAACATGTGAATCTCCGATGAGATTATGCTGATTTTTTTTCCTATGATACCCAGATGTAAAAACAGATCTTATGACACTTCTAAAATTAGAAATTGAGTCAAACAACATGCATTTATGGGAAGATCTTACAATCTCAGCAAACTATCACACATTGTAAAGGATCATCATAAAAATATTAATAATTTCCATTTACTGAGTATTATATTGCAGACACAATGTTAGGTGCTTTATGTATGTTGTGCCACACCCTTTGCAAACCAAAGCTGTTGATGTGATAGTCCCCATTTTACAGCAGAGAACCTTGACGCTCAGGATTTCTGAGAACTGATGGTTTCTAAAGACTATGTTTAATAAGCCATAGAAAGTTGCTAATTGGGAATTAAAAGAAAGCTGAGCCACAGAAGTTCAACTGTAAGGTAGGATGCTGGTTATCTTCACAATGATTAACCAGTCATCAATGGTTATTATAAAAATACTAGGTCAAAAAAGCAGCATCTAGAAGAGGGGGCGGGGCTGGTTAGGGAGGGAAGGCATGCTGTATTAACTTGTGTTAAAAGCTGTATGGAAACTAAATAATATCAAAAGCAATGCCAGACAACTAGCAATGAAATTTGAATATATGGGTGTGAAAAATTCTGTTTCAGAAATCTATTCATTTAGGTTTACTTGCACAACCAGAATTTGCTAAAATATAAATAGACGTAACATGTATTGTGCTCTAAGGTCCTCTCCACCTCCCTTCTTTCTACAGATAAAGCAAATACTTCATCCCGCTCTGAGAACCAACAGTAAGTGATAACTCATTTATTTTAATGTGAACATTTATGTGTCAGTCATCTTTGTTTTTCCAGTGGTAAAAATAATATATTTAATACATTTATCTATGATTTTCAAAACGTTATGGATAAATTTTTATTAAGAGAATCAAGTTAATTTTACTCTTTACTCATTTTATCAAGTTGAAACTCAAATTAATTCTTTACACTTCAGCTTAAAATAGATAATAGAATTCTCGTGTTTGACTTCGAAACAATTATTCTGGAACCATCTTAACTAGAAGAAATGTAAATATGGCAAATTGCATATATTATATACTTCCATATTGATAATTTTTGCTATGAACATGTATTGTCATGTATTAATACAGGTATTGTTAAAATAGGGATGAGTGCCTCCAGTGTGCTACAAAATGATTGCTTTTCTCAGGTGAAAACAATGTTCCTGTCAATATGCATTGGCTTTGACCTTACTTGGTTGAAGGCTAATTTCTGAAGTTACTTAAGAACTTACCATTGGCATAGATAAATTAGCCTAATCTTCAATTTCTTCATCTGTAAAATATAGTCATACTCACCAAGGTATGATAGTGAAATTAGACATCAAGTTTTGCATTGCACTGTCAGTAAATGTTCACTCCTCTCCTTTTTGTGAGCACATTATTGAGGATAAAGGGAATGCAGGGAACAGGTATCAGTTGTCTACTATTTACCCATCAATAAGTCCTGAGAAGAACCACAGATAAATTGTTCAGAGTTTTCTTTCTCTTCAAGAATTTGGGAGTACCAATCTCACATGAAGAACACCAATCAATGTAGCATTCCCTCAGTTTACAAAGTTAGTGATTTATATGACTAACTGCCAGAAGATCAGTGCTTATTTAAGCTTAGTGGGTTTGTTGCTTTGCCTAGAGGACCAAGAATTTTTTTTGACATACTGAGAAAGGACAACATGGCCACCCAATGTTGAATGCCTTTTAAAAAGTTAGTGAATATATTAAACAACTTTTATACCAAATCATGAGTTCAGCAAATTTGGACAGGCTAGATTTTCAATATATTATTTGTATTTTATTTTTTTATACAGGGAAATTTGAGATATAGACAAGTATAAGGAATACAATCAAAATAATTTCTAATCCCTCTGCTGGGGAAATAACCACTAATAAAGTGTACATTTATTTCTGTATAATAATAATCCTGGAATCTTGATTAAAGTCATATGTCAATAAAAGAACAAACAGTGCTGGTTTTTATAGAACACCAAGAGATGGTGCACATTGAAAATAAGCTTTCCCCAAAGATTGGGATTATTAATCAATACAGTATCAATTAACTCTGAAGAAATCTGGTTTTCCATATTTTTAATGGATTTTAATGGAGCAATAGAGCTGAGCAGAAACATTGTGATATATTCCTAACCTTTATAGGTGTACTTCAAGAGCATCAGACAAGTGTTTCAATTTATTTTTTATTGTCCCTATCAGTGACAAAGTTGATTCCACTATGATTCTGCTTGCACCAGATGAAATCTTGTTACATTTCTTATGAATTTGGGAATTACAGTTCCATTAAAATAGCCAAGATCATTGCATTGTTTTTTTCCTCATAGTCAGAGGTCTATGTACTACATATTTTAATGCAGAACTTTGCTCTGTTTGATTTACTTTCCAGCAATGGCTGTATTCCCGATAGTGTTGTTTCTGGCTGCTGTGCTGCTTCCATCTTTACCCACAGAAGCAAAGGTAAAGTTAAATTGCAAAATCTTTTTAAAGCTATCCAGGTATCTTTCGGGATGGCTAGGTCCTTTGAGAGTAGAAGGGGCAAGAGTGGACATCACAAAGTACTGATTGGTAGCTCAGATCCCTTAACACTATTATCTAGATGATATTCTAAGGCTGAGCTCTCCAATACAGCAGCCACTAGTCATATGTGGCTAATGAACACAATGTGGTTTGTCCAAAACAAGATATACTGTAAGTATAAAATACACACTAGATTTTAAAGATGTACTGATGAAAAAGAAGGAGGAGGAGGCGGAGAAAATATATTCAATAACTAACTTAGATATTCAATACTCGATGGAATTATATTTTAGATAATTAAATAATGTATTAGGTCTAAGGGCTGTTGTAAGAAATAAATGCAAGCTATGTAGCTTAGAACAACAGAAATTTATTCTGTCACAGTTCTGGAGACCAGAAGCTTAACATTTAGATGTCGGCAGGGCCACACTCCCTCTGGAGGATCGAGAGGGAAATCTGTTGTCTGTTTTTCTTTTAGCTTCAGGTGGCTTCCACCAGTCACTGGGATTACTAGGCTTGTGGCTATATCACTTACTCTCTACCTTCCCTTCTCCTTTCTGTGTCTCTTATAAGGGTACTTGTCATTAGATTTAGACCCTACTTGAATAATAATAATCTTGAATAATCCAGGATGATTTAATATTGAGATCCTAAACTTAATTATATCTACAAAGACTCTTATCTAGATAAGGTCACATGGACAGAATCTGGGGATTAGGACGTAGACATACAATTTTTGTAGACTTCTAGTCAACTCATTACAAATAAAATTTATTATTTAAAATAATGTGAATACATTAAAAAACCATACACCACAATAGGGTAGCATTTATTTCCAGGATGCAAGTGTGGTTCAATATTTGCAAAACAATCAATGTGAATCATCATGTGATTAAGAGAAAGGATAAAAAATATACAATAATTTCAATAATTCTAAAAAAATATTTGACGAAGTACAACATCCTTTCATGATAAAAAACCTTTGGAAAGTAGGTCTGGAGAGAACACAAGATAATAAAGGCCTTATGTGAAAACTCACAGCAACATCATACTCAATGGTGAAAAACTGAGAGCTTTTCCCCTTAGGTCAGGAATAAGATAAGAATGCCCTCTATCACCACTTTTTATTCCACATAGTAGTGCAAGTCCTCACCACAGAAATTAGACAACATAAAGAAATGAAAGGCATCCAAATTGGTAAGGAAGAAGTAAAACTCTCACTATTTGCACATGACAGAATACTATATATAGAAAACCTGAAAGACTCCACCAAAAAACTGCTAGAACTGATAGGTCAATTCAGGAAAGTCACAAGATACAAAATCAATATACAGAAATCTGTTGCATTCCTATACATTAATAATGAAGCATCGGAACGTGAAATTGAAAAAACAATCTCATTTACAGTTGCACCAAAAACAATAAAATATTTAGGAATAAACTTAGCCAAAGACATGAAAGACCCATACTCTGAAAACTATAAAATGCTGATGAAAGAAATTCAAGAGGACACTAACAAATGGAAAGACATTCCATGCTCATGGGTTGGAAGAACAAATATTATTAAAATGTCTATATTACCCAAAGCAATCCACAGATTTCATGCAAGCCCTATCAAAATACCAACAGCATTTTTCACAGAGCTAGCACAAGGCCCCTAAAATTTGTATGGAACCACAAAAGACCTCAAATAGCCAAGCAATCTTGAAAAAGAAAAGTAAAACTGGAGGTATCACAATTTCAGACTTCAAGTTACATTACAAAGCTGTAGTAATTAAAACAGTATGGTACTGGCATAACAATAGACACATTGATCAACAGAATAGAACAGAAAACCCAGCAATAAACCTACAACTGATGGTCAATTAATTTTCAACAAAGGAGGAATGAATATACAATGGGAAAAAGACAGTCTCTTCAACAACTGTTGTTGGGAAAACTGGACAGTCACATGAAAAAGTATGAAACTGGGCCACTTTCTTTCACCATACACAAAATTATAAACTCAAAATGGATTAAGGACCCAAATGTGACACCTGAAACCATAAAAATACTACAAGAGAGCACAGGAGGTAATGCCTCTGACATCAGCTGTAGGGACACTTTTCTAGATCTGTCTCCTGAGGCAAAGAAAGTAAAAGCAAAAATAAACTATTGGGACTACATCAAAACAAAAAGCTTCTGAACAGTGAAGGAATCAACACAACTATAAGGCAGCCTAGAGAATGGGAGAAGACATTTGCAAATAACATATCTGATAAAGGCTTAGTATCCAAAATATATAAAGAACTGATACAACTCAGCATGCCGAAAACAAATAATCCAGGGGCGCCTGGGTGACTCAGTTGGTTAAGCATCTGACTTCAGCTCAGGTCCTGATCTCACTATCTGAGTTTGAGTCCCGCCTCCGGTTCTGTGCTGACAGCTCAGAGCCTGGAGTCTTCTTCAGATTCTGTGTCTCCATCACTGTCCCTCCCCAACTCACACTCTGTGTCTCTCACACTCAAAAATGAATAAATGTTTTAAAAAAACTTTTTTAATAGTAATCCAATTGAAAATGGACAGAAGAGGAGTGCTTGGGTGGTGCAGTCAGTTAAGTGTCCAACTTCGGCTCAGGGCATGATCTCAGTTTGTGGGTTCAAGCCTTGCATCAGGCTCTGTGCTGACAGCTCAAAGCCTGGAGCCTGCTTCTGATCCTGCATCTCCTTCTCTCTCTGCCCCTCCCTCATTCATACACAGTTTCTCTCTGTCTCAAAAAATAAATAAACATTAAAAAAATTTTTTTAAATGGACAGAAGACATGAACAGACATGTCTATAAAAAAGACATACAATGGTCAACAGACACATGAGAAGATGTTCAACATCACTCATCATCAGAGAAATGCAAATCAAGGCTGCAATGAGATACCACCTGACACCAGTCAGAATGGCTAAAATAAAAAAA